ACTGCGTTTTTATAAATTTAACTCATTAAAGGTTGATTGCATATTATAACCCTAATTTTCACACTATCCTTTTTTTTTAAAAGTGCAGATTTGAATCACGTAATTTGGTTGCTAGTCCTAGAAAGGACATATCTTTAAAATTCAATGGTCTGAAGAAGGCCAGAAGCTGATGGGGAAGTTGGTGCGCCACAAAATATCACGTGACTTCGATTTTTTGGCGGAAATCGTTATATTAGATAGAGATGAATAAATACTTGCACCTATTGTGTATGACGTATTAACTGATGGATTTTACATGCTTTTTTTTTTTTTTTTACTTTCCCTCTTTTTATCAATGTCTGTTTCCTACTGATGAAAAATAAAAAACTTTAACAAATAAAGAAGATAATAAAAAGCCAATATATTAACACCATTATCCTGTATAATACTCATAAAGAACTTGAAGCTTTTTTATTACATAGCACAAGAAGTTATATGTCGAAATTACAAAGCAGAATCTGTGCATAATTGTTTCAATTTCAACGCGAAAAAAGTCATAACTTTCAATTCAAATTACATTTTCACATAGTAAATTGGATAAGTTGATAAATTAGAACAATATTATAAAATTAAAATAAATATAAATAAACATATATGTATTTCTTAATTGTTGTATCTACAATAGAAACTATTAAAAAACATCCCTTCCCCAATACCTTTGTATGGATGTAATTATGTAAGTAATTATTACCCATGGGTTTAGATTAGTCGCTACTACCACCTGAACAAGACTATTATCACCTAAATCCTTCTGAATTATGATTCTCCCATGACATCTTGCTCTACACCTTTGTGTATTATTATTATCGTTCATATAAAATTGGATTGCTTCTTTAATATAACTTAGCATAACTTCAGTTCTATCAACATAGATATGTATTTTGGCCTCTTCAAACCATTGAAATTTAAGATATGTCTCTTCTAGGACTTGCAACCAAATTATGTGATTCAAAGGTTTATCCATCTGCACTTTAAAAAAAAGGTTAGTGTAAAAATTAGGATATATCAATTCATATACAATTATACAAACCTTTTATATTGTAAATACAATTAAAATATTATTTATGTATTTGAACAAATTTTATTTTAATAATTTTTTTTTTTAAAAAAATATTTGGAATTTTTAAATATTTTTTTTGTTAAAAAATTTCTTTTTTATAAATAATACAAGTTAAAAATTTATAATTTTCAGGTTTAAACTATTTATACTGATCAATATATCACTCACATTTTTTTAGCGTCTCTTTCTTATTCTTGTTTTTGTTTTTCAAACTACATTATGTATGAACTAATTGGATCAATAAAATTTGTTTTGAATGATCTTAATTGATATTTTTTATTACTATTGCATTTGAAGTAACTATACAATTTTTATAATTTTTTCATCATCAAGTCAACTGTATATATTAAAACATTTTAAATTTTTAGGATATTTTTTTGAATTTTAACATTTCTTTTTTTCACGTTTAAGACTTGAATTAAACTTTGATTATTTTAATAATATGGATAATTTGCAAATTGATATGTTAAGAATTTTTAAAGGTCTTGTAGTTATCTCTAACAAAATCAATGATGACATTCTGATATTTTATGACCATAAAGGCAAGATAGTAGCTATTGAATTATTTAGTATATCAAATATATTATACATATCTACATTCAAGAAATCCGTTAAAGATCTGAAATCTTAACTTTGTATATAATATAAAAAATTAAATCTCTTTTTATTTTTCTGTTATTTTTTTTTTATTTTTTTTTTTTTTTTAGATATACACTTAAAATGAATCATATAGAAGTTTGTTTTAATTTTATTTTATAGAAATATTTTCTCTCTTTATTTTCTAAGAAAAAGATTCAATATTACATAAAAATTAATATTATAAATTATATATCAAAATTTTTTTTTGAGTTTTGAAATAAAATAATTATAAATTAACAAATTATAAACTTTTAAATTATTCTTATAATAATAATTTAATCTTTGATTTTAAAATAAATTTTATTTTATTTTGAATTTTTAGAATTTATTAATGCTATTTTAAATACTAATTTAACTTTAGAATTAATCAATAAAACTTTTAATAAAGTTATTTTATATAAAATAAATGTACTATTGTAATTTTATAAAATAATATATAATTAATATAATTGTTAAAAATTAAATATTTTATAATAATTTTTTTATATTTAAAGAAATTATATGAATATGAAGTTTATAATAAATATAAGTTTTAAAAAAAATATATAATTGGTGTAATTATATAATTAATTTTAATAATCTATTAATAATATTACAGATTATTTTATGATTTTAAATAATAGAAAAAAATTTTAAAAACTATAGAACACTTTTTTTAAGATAACAAAAAAATTTGTTTGCTTTATAGTTTAATTTCAATACTATTAGTTATTTTATAGACCAATAAATAAAACATTATAAATCTAATAAGAATTTTTAAAGAAAAAAAGATTATATTTATTTATATTTCAATATTTCAAATATTTAAGAATAGAATTTTATATTATAAAAATATATAAATAGCTTTTTTAAATCTATATAAATATTTTTTAAAAAAGTTTTAAATATTATTTTTTATTCTATAACTTTTAATTAGTCATTTTTTTATTTTTTTAGTTAATCTTAATATTTAATACATTATTTAATACAATATCTAAATTTTATAAATATATATGGTGCTGGAAGTTTATACTAGACAATAAAAATGTAACATTTAAAAAACTTTCAAATTTTTTAAAAAAAAGAATTTAAGAAAAATAAACTAGCAATTTTATTCTTTAAGATAAATGCTATTAAATTACCAATTGGTTTTTCAAAAAAATGTCTACATAAAAAATTATAAGCATTTAAATTAGGTAATTTTCATATGATAGTTTCAAATTTGAAACGAATCATATCACGTGAATGCAATTTTATTAGCCAATGTTTTTTGTAATTTTGGCTGAAATTATAAAAATTTAGTACTGGCCTGAATTATAATAACTAATCTTTCATGAAAAAAGTGAGTGATTATGAGAAATTTATTAGATTATTACATGTATATGAGAAAATTTTTATTTTGTATCACTCTTAAAAATGCCACATAAAACAAAAAGACAAAAGCAAGTTAGTAAAATACTAAGAAAAAAAGGATATTACATATCTAAAAGTCAAGTAAAAACTAAGACTGAAACTATGAAAATAAAGAATGGATAGAGAATGAAGTTATCAAAGATTGGATAGAAAAAGATATTAATGATTAGACAAAAGAAAATTTAAATGAATTTGAGAAAATAAAAAGAAAACTTATTTCCAAAGTTTTTCATTAGCATGAGAATGCTGCAAGTAATATTAGAGCAGCATATAATAGAACTTTAAGAACTACAACTTGGAGAAAAAAAAAAGAAGGAAGAATTAAAGCATGATGTAAAGGAAATGAAGACTCTTGATACATTATTTTTAAGTGCTAAAGTATCAACTAATATCTCTTTACCAAAATTATTGCAATCATTACAATCAAAAATTCTATCTTCATCTTCATTTCTTCAAAATCCTTCTTTAGTTACTAAAGAAATTACAAGAAATCTACAAATATGCTTAATGAAATAAATTAGCGATGCTTAATAATGAAATCTGCAAAAACAAATAAAAATATTTATACCTATGACTATCTACGATATCTAAGTATACGTAGATACATGCAGTTATTATTGAATGGTTGTGATAAAATGGATGCCAGTAACAAAATTGCACAAACTATGTAGAATAAAGGTGATTATATTGCGAGGTGTATATGAAAATGGGGAGCCTATTTTATAAAGACAGGAGAATTTCTTGTCTATTGTTAAGGGAAACATGCAAAATTGAAAAGTTTGCTAAATGATGAAGATTTTAAGAAAGATTGCCAAACATGATTACAACAGTAAAATCCAGAGTCCTATATCCCTAGAAACCTGAAAATATATATTGAAGAAATAGTATTTCCAAAGTTAATAGGCTACATTAAGAAAGACACAATTTCTAAAAAAACCTGTCAAAACTACATGCATTTGTGAGAATATAAATATGATGAAAGAAAGAAAGAAATATATTATAATGGGCATGAATGATTAGACGTAGTGATGTATAGAAAGGAATGGTTAAAAAAGATGTTTGAATATCAGAAATTAATGAAAGATTTTGATGGTGATTTGATGGATATTATTATAGAAGTTCAGCTTAATCTGAGAGAAAAAGAAATAGTCCAAATAACGCATGACAAATGCCATTTTTATGCAAATAATAGACAACAAAGAATCTGGATAAGAGAAGATGAGGATATCTTACGCTCAAAGTATTAAAGTCATTCTATCATAGTTTTAGCCTTTCTTTGTTCATGTCACAGATTGTTATGATTATCTGATGAACAATTACAAGTAAATCCACACATCAAAAATAAAAAAGTTTTAGTTTTTCATTCTATACAAACAAATGGATATTGGAAGTCAGAACATATGCTGGATCAGATACATAACCTAAGATTAAAGTTATTATAAAAAAATAAAATTAATTTTTTTGTTAAAAAAAAAATAGCTCATACATCAAGCAATTCTAATATTTGAAATATTATACCTTGGTTGTATTAGAGTTTTTTGCTTTGACCAATCTACAAATCATAATGCAATAGTAGCTGATGTACTTATTATAACGAGAATGAATCTAAGCTCCAGAAGAGCATAATCTAAAATGCATAATGATTGGTATATTGATAAAAACGGACAAAAGTATATACAGTCAATGATATTTTCTGAAAATCATAAATTAAAAGAGAAGCCAAAAGGTATCAAGCAAGTACTTAAGGAATGTAACCTTTGGTCAAATAAGGGTATTTGTTTAATGTGTGAGCAATACTCTAGAAAATAAGATGATGTTGAACTAAAAAGGTCTAATTGTTATGCAAAGAGAATCATGTTATTACAACCTGATTTTTGTGAACAAAATCAATATTAGAAAAAGCAATAAATGAAGCGAATCATATATTCGAATGATATCCAAAGTTCTATTGTGAGTGCAACTTCATAGAACAATACTAGAGTTTTGTGAGATGAGAAATAAAATGAATATACAGTTATAATTTTGCCAATTTATTAGTACAAGTTCCAGAAGTTCTTATTAGTATTTCTATAATGACCATTCATAAGTTTGCACGAAAGTCATGGAGGTATATGGATGCATATGGGGTTTTTGCTAGGAAAATGACCCTCTGAGATAAATTTCAGTTTTTGAGTAAATAACAATTGAAAGTTTT